AATGGTTCAAAGAAAGTTTGCTAAAACGGCTCCTGATTCAGGAGCTTTCAATACTTGGCTGGAAAAGCTGTTACTGCTCTTCTGAAAGCAGAGAATGTGAATGGGTGATTTAATAATGGTGTTCATAAAGATATTAGCTATTGTATAATAAGGAAAAGCTCTTGCCACTTGCAGATGGGTCAGCAACCAGAAAAACAAACCAAGTTAATTAGCAAGAGAACCAGATCAATCAGCCTTTTATTGACCTAGTTAAATCCTGTGATCTGCAATGACCCTGAAAAGGCGTCAGGTGCAAATTTAATATTAAATCTTAAAATAGAATTAAAATGCATACTCGCAAAAAAATGTTGCAGCACTACGAGGAAAGGGTGAGGCAATGGAACTAATTGGATGAGTTGTTCAAAAAGCTGGCACAGGTATGAGAAATTGCATGGCTTCCTTCTGTGGTGTGTGATTACATGACACGATTCCATGAGATCTTTTCACAAGGGGAGGGGTGGTTCTAGCAGATAGTGAAGCATCAAGATTCTCATTCCATGAAGTCAAGCTAGGTTTCAATCAAAGTCCCAGAGATAAAAATGACAACGTCTGAACCACTCCACAATGAACGTCAGCTTAACCATATAGAACATTATTAAAGTTACAAAATTAATTCTTCTGTGTCAGCTTGATGTTGGGGTCAAAAAAATCAGCTTCAACCAAGAATGCTATTTAGCTGAGGAAGAATCCTGAGGTAAATGAAGAATTGAAACTTGAATTAATTACATTTATCAAAAAAGATAGATGTAGTTACTGAAGAGATGTGATATTGAAATTGCAAAATGTACTTTAAATCAACTGTTGATAATTCAGCTAGGGAAAAAAAACTTCTGCAAAATAGCATCTGACAAATAAGACTAAATTTGTCTTACACTGTAGTCTATTAGTAAGTTGTAATATTCATCAACTGGTACAGTCGATATATACAGAGAATAATGGTTAACCAAGTCTGATTACAAAACAATAATTTCATCAATGGGTTCCAATGACATCATTTCTTGTGGCAAAAAGGTTCATGACATTCTCTAAAACATTGTTGTGAAATTGTCCTTTGCTGCTATTTTTATGATTATAACTCCATTCCTTTAACAATAGGAGAAAAAAATATTGAATTCTGGGCCAATTTTTTTTTTGTTGACCAACATGTCAGATTTCTCCTTGTGAATGATGTATACTAGTCTTTAATCTGAAGCATTAATGACAGATATTAAAATTGTAAAATTAAAGTACAACAAGCTGGAGCTAATCATTAATAATCCGTGTAGCCATTAAATAATTGTTGGTTAACTGTAAATGAGAGACTGGATGTAATTGAGACATACCTAATCATTTGGGAAGAGAGATATCAAAATGTTAAACTTATTCATGGGAATGCAAAACTTACAAAAAGAAAACTTCCCTTCTATTTACATCTAAAATGGCTCAATTCTGTTACTCAATGGGTGATGGGGTGATGATGGCAGACTAATACCACTTGCAAGTTTCTATTCAAGCCACCCACCATCCTAACTTGGAAATATATCACTGTTCTGTTTCTGTCAGTGTGTTCTAAATCTGGAACACCATTGCTAACAGCAATATGTAATCACTTACACCACTCAGGCAGCAATAATTCAAGAAAGCAGATCACTACCACCTTCTCAAGTGCAATTAGAGATGGACAATAATATTTCTGTGCACTTAGGGATACTAAAATCCCTACACATCTCATTTAAATGCCACTCTCAACACTCCTCCTCTCCTCAGAAATTAGATGGTGCAAATTTTTGAAACATAAATCAGAGCAGGTATCTGACAACTTGAGCTTGCCGAATGCTTGTCCTGGCCAACAACCAACTGTTTCTTCACAGTAGTTTTCCTGTAGGCTCCATGACCACCATCCACCTTGAGCCTTCAGCTATGCAAGTTAGCAATGGCAAACCACAAGTCTCACCACATCATCAGGTCTGCTATCGAAACAACTCGAAAACTACTTCAGCCCTTCAAACACTTATATCTTTGGAACTTAGAGACAACTAGGTCTTGCATTGCACAGATGGCTTTACATACAGGAATAGACATGCATCTCATATATCCATGCAAGATGCATCTTATGGTAATCAGCTTGCTTCCTTAGTGGTCACTTGCTTTCCATTTACTTGGAGTCTGCCAGATTCCATCCACTTCACATTACTTTCTCACTGATATCAGTACTGATTTATGGGTTACCACCATCTGTGTGGGTGACATTGCTTTCTTAGCACACAGAATCTTTAGTATTCAGTTACAGGCTGCCAGCCTCTATAACTTGCAGAGAGAGAGGCAGGCAGCTTGTCACATTGGGAACACAGAACAGTACAGCAGCTGTATGACACTATGCTACATCAATGTCATAATTGCAACATGTGCCAGCAGTTCACACAGCAAACACACTGTATGTGCTTCAACTGAATAACCATGTGTGAAACTCAAAGGAGAACAGTAGTTAGTGGGATCAAGGGGGACTACAGTCAATCAAGGGGCTGGACCTATTCCATTCCATACCTGATTGACTACAGTCAGTCAGGTACTTGGTCCTGTCAGAATGCAAGGATTTGCATCTTTGCAGTCTGGGGAATGGAGTGCAATTCTGCAGGTCAAGTGCAACCAGTCTGGGGCTTATACGTAGATCAGTTGGGATACTGTGGAGACATCAGTGTGGGATGGGGGGGGACTGTTCCTGCAATATGACAAAGGGAGGGATTGAGTTTGAAGAAAGTGTATGAACACAAAGTTAACAGTCACTCAGAAGCAGAAAAGGTTGTGAGGGTAGGAAATACAGAGAGCAGGAAAGGTTATAATTTGGGAGGATGAGATGGGTAAGAGTCTTGAATGGACATGATGCATGTAATATTAAAAATTGCAGTCCATGAGCTTTGGTGAGAGTAGAGTGCAGTGGCAGAGACAGAGTAAGTGATGTCCTGTGAGTGAGGGCTAGCAGAGAGAAGAAGTCACATTTACTGTGCTGAAGCACAGAAGATCACTGACCTTCCTCCTGCACTGCTGGCCATCCTGCTTCATCCGGGACACAGCACTGGCCTGAGCTGCAGTTTGGGTTCAGGCTGGCTTTGCCTTCTGGCATGGTCTCCTATGGCCAGCAAGAGAAAGAATAGCCCACCTCTGCTTTACCCAAACCATCAGCACCTTCCTGCAACGCAGAGGCATGGGGATCAACACATCAAACCTAGCGCGAGGGAGAGATTGAGTCCAGTGCAAGGATCGACAGATCAAGCCCACTGCAGGGATTGACAATTCGAGCCCATCGTGGGTCAGAGATCGAGCCCATCGCGGGACACAGATCGAGCCCAGTGCAGGACACAGATCAAGCCCATTGCGGAACACAGATCGAGCCCGGAATAGGACACAGATCCAGCCCGGTGCAGGACACAGATCAAGCCTGGTGTGAGACACAGATCGAGCCTGGTGTGAGATACAGATCGAGCCTGGTGAGAGACACAGATTGAGCCCGGTGTGGGAACAAATCGAGCCCATGTGGAGAAAGCCCAACATGGAGTGACTACAGGCCCATGGCTAAAGAAGGACTGTAATTTGGAACTTATAATGTTATTTCGTATTTAATACTTTATACTGACGAGAACTGTAATGTTGAACTTTTGACTTATTTCTTTATTTTTATATTCATTACCTAAGATTTTCTACCTAGGTACCTTGTACCTAAGATGGCGCCATGAGTGGCAACATTGTAAACTTTTCACTGTACTCCCTGTCCTTGAGTACATGTGACAATAAAACCTAATTTTAATTCTAAAGTCCCTCTTTACGAAGCAGGAATGGTCTTTACTTTTGTTTGGGCCATGCCTTGGTGATAACGGTGAAGCACCTCAGGACGAATGGCAGTTCCTGGTTTATAGCATCGGAAGTGATGTGCAGCAGGAATTTAAATAGGGATGAAGGCAGAATGTCCCAGGAATGGCGAACAATTCCACCTCTCCAGACACGTGGTTCCTCAAAGTAGATGCTCAAGAGGCTAGTTGTGTAATTAACAAGATGAAGAGTGGAAGATTGTGTGAGAAAAATCTCTCGAAGCCATGGTGGATTAGACATGAATCCCACTCGAGAAAAATACTTTAACCAAAAATGGGAAAACTCCACCCACTTTGTCATTTGTATAATTTAACATTGGACAATTTTATTTCATAAAGATTTTCATTTACGTGTTAGCATCTTTCAAAGCATTTTACATACTATGAATACTTGGGGTGCAGAGACAGTGTTAGAGACAAAGATGTAATAATATAGCTAGGATCTTACCACTCATAGAAAGCATGTTTAGGATATGGGTTTTTTCTTGTACAGAAGTAAGCTAGTTTATTTTCAAAAAAGCATTTGTTGTTAACTTATGTCTGCTGCCTTGTGCCAAATTAAATATTGTGGTTCCCAGGAAATGAATGCTTTTCTTGTGTGTAGGGGTTTTGGCTTTAGTGAAATGGTGATGATTATTGGAGATATTGATGAATTCTTCTAATTCTATTTCTGCGCAAGTTCAAATTCCCCATACATAAACAGACATAGAGGGATTGGTATAAATTGACTGCATCAGGTAATGACAGAGTTGGTGAGACTGAAAAAGGACAAAATGTAGTCTCAAAAATCAAGAAGTAGCCCTTGAGAAATCTTGAGGAACCGTGAAAATAAAACAGTTTTCAAGCCCTGCTTAACATAAGAATGTATGGCATAATTTCTGTTTGAAAATAATGAAATGGTCTCCCATGTTCATCTAACCAATCATCTATGGAGTATTGTCACACAATGAGCTTACAATATACATATGATGATTGAAAGTTACCTTTTTAATCTAAAAGAATTTAATTACCTAATAATTCAAATTGGACAATGTTAATAACACGGGGAAGTGGAATTTAGTGCTAAAGATTGTGATCAGACTACTTAAAATAAGGGACACATAAACAGCATTGACTTACCATGGTAAATGGTACTGCTGTTACTGTTAAGGTAAGATTCAACCAGAGGGGCCTGCTCTTCTGATTGCTTCATTCGCCGAGTCCGTGATCGACTGTCGACATTTGACTGGACCATTAGAGGCTCCTGCCGCTTTTTCTTTTGCTTCTGTTCCAGTAATGCGCGCTGCAGGAAATAAATCCCTGTTAATCATTGACTAAGCTCATATAACTACTTTCAATTTATCAGAGGTTTGAGTGAACTTTAGACTCGTTCAACTTACAAAGTAACTTCCAATCTAGACCAATGATTTGTTTGCATTTGGGCTTTGAGGCTTTTATTAACATAAATCTGTAATGATACCCCTTTGTTCATTCATAAAATATGGGCTCACTGGCTGGGCCAGCATTTTTTTAACCATCTATAATTGCCCAGGGTGAGGTGGTGGTAAGCTTGAACCACTGTAGTCATCTCGGTGTCGGTACACCATAGCCTGTGCAGTTTAAATTCATCCACATTGCTGTGAGGGAGGGAGTTCCAGGAATTTGACCCAGTCACAGTGATATATTTCCAAGTTAGGTTGGTGGGTAGCTTGGAGGGGAATTTGCCACGTTCCCGTGGTGGTGTTGCTATGTATCTGCTGCCCTTGTCCTTCGAGATGATAATGATTGTGCATTTGGAACGTTCTGACTTAGGAGCTTTCGTAAATTACTGTAGGGTTTTGTTTTTGATTAGTGAGAACATTTTAGAAAGTAACTTAATGTGTGTTCAATGAATGTAGTAAAGTCACCATTTGCAGGTTCCCATCATGTTAATATCTAGTATAGCCCGAAGGAATGCCTGAGACCTAACAGAATGTGGGAACAGATAATGTATATTTTAATTAAGAGTTAATTGAGTTTGAAGTGATTGTATAAAAATGGGGAGCTAATAACCAATAGAGAGTTTTACAGAGTGTGACTAACTGAAATAAAGCTCTCACTAAATGTGTGGACTTGAATTCTATTTAAATTCAGTTATCTTTGTAAGTATAAGACCTGTACCAGAGAATGGTTGATTCAAAATGTAATGTTTCGATAAAGTTATGATTACCCGACCCCTGTTTTCTGAAAATGAGCCTTATGATCAGTGGAAGAATTGAATGACAATGTAAACTGGGTAACTTCTTTGCCAACCAGGAAGCAACGTATGGCCTTAAGACTTTTGTTATTATACAGAAACAAGATAAGAAGCAAAGACTATTTTTTGGAATTGGAACCTGATAACTTGAACATGGACAAAGGTTTAGACAGACTGTTAACTTTCATGGATAAAATTTATCAAAAAGAAGATCTACTTACAGCTTATGAGGCACGGTCAGATTTTGATGAATTTAGAAAGACTGAGGATAGTACCATGGAAGCATACATTATGGAATTTAGTAGGTTGTATGTTAGACCGCAAAAATTTCACTTGGAAATTTCCCAATCTGTGCTGGCATTCAGGTTATTGGTGTGTGCCAAAGTTTAAATATAGGGAAACTTCTACGATAAAAACAGAAGTTGCTGGAAAAGCTCAGCTGGTCTGGGAGCATCTGTGAAGAGAAATCAAAGTTAACGTTTTGGGCCCAATGACTCATTCGCAGAACTTTTACAGCATTTACAGTTCTTTTGGTTTTTATAGTGAGACTTCTGGTTTTGACGAGAGTCACATTTGCAGAAAACCCCACACTACTAGAACAAAGGTCACAAGCATTCATAACACAAACAACAATCTGGCAGAAAATGGATGCCACAATGTTAACAACTTGGAGAGACCACTTAGATATTAGTTGCATGCAACAGCAGGAAACAAGAACCGTAACTAATAAAAATGAGGAGAGGAATGCGATTGATAACTTTGAGAAGAGAAGACAAAGCGATATTTACAAAAAGCAAATGAATCCCGGAAATGCTCAGGGCTGTAACCTGATTTTTTTTCATTCATTCACAGGATTTAGGCAGCACTGGTTAGACCAGCATTTATTCCCATTCCCCATTGCCCAGAAGCCAGGTAAGACTCAACCACATCACAGTGGGTATGGAGTCACATGGAGGCCAGATGAGGCAAGATGGCATTTTCCTTCCCTAAAGGATATTAGTGAACCAGGTGGGTTTTTTCAACAATTGACAACGGTTTCATAGCCATCACTGGACATTTTAATTCCAGAAATTTTTTTTAATGAATTCAAATTCCACAATCTACTATGGCAGGATTCTAACCAAGATCCCTAAACATTACCTGGGTCTCTGGACATTTGAGCAATAATACCATTAGTCGTTACCTCCCTTATTTCTGGTGTGATTCAAAGTGTCACTATGCCATGAACTGTTCCAATGGTTCCAAGCGTTTAAAAAGAAACATGAAATGGAAGATTCGGAAGAAGTAGATGGAGATACAGATCAAAGGGAGAGCGATGTATTGGTCACAGGATTTCTATGAATGTATTGGTGGCAGAGTTTTTCAAGTGTGCTTTATGGGCACCAGATGCACTGTAGTGTGTGGAATAGACCGACAAAAATGCCACCTAGATTCTCTAAGTAAAAAGGAGCAGGACAAAGTGAAGAAATTTGACAGAATTTTTATAAGCATGACATTTCCCAAAGAATTTACATTCTTTAGTCATATTTGATTATTTAGCCAAACATTGACTGATTCAAACAATATATTTTAGCCAGGTCTTTGGAGATGGAAACAAAATTACTCTAATATCTGTAGCACTTAAACCCCTTACCTGTCTGTCAAGCTTCTGTTGTCGCAGGTTACTGCCCTCATCATCCAGAACACTGAGAAGGAAAACAAGTATAAGTAATCAATATGTTAGAATGTTAGAATTTCACATCATAGATTCTTCAAGCCAAGGCATAAAATCTCAATAAAATATTAAAATTGTACAGCACAGAAGGAAGTCCTTCAGCTCTTCACGTCTATCCTGAACTCTAAGTCTCACTGCCCTGCTGTTTGCCTCTGCTCCTATAAGTTCTAATTTCTGAAGTATATATCTAATTGGAGAATTTCCAAAGAACTTTAAATATTATTTCACAATTAGTTTATTTTTACCTCAGCCAAATAACAATGTAATTAGAGTACTGCATTTTCTTGAGCTTTTGGAATTCTTCATGTTAACAACAATGTACAGTTTATTGGACTGTGTAAATAAATTTTTTGTCCTAAATGGCCTTTCTCAGGTAAATTCTGGAAGTCAGACGGTTGGTCACAACAGGCCAAAGGGCTTTATCATGCCAGAAAAACAATATACTCTGAGAACTCCTGGTCTCTGATTACTCAGGTATTAACAGTGCCTGCTAGAGAAAACACCACACATTTAAAGAGATAACAAGTTAAATCAAGCAGCAGAACCTTTCAATGTTTCTTATCGAAGTTGGCAGCTCAAATGCAACAAGAGACTGATAATAAAATCCCAGATACATGGCCTGCAATTTTTCAACTATCAACATCAATGGACTAAGAAACCATAGGCAACAAAACTAGGTCTGCAACAACTTCAGTTGCTGAACTTCAAAGTAAAGAAAGTCATTCTATGAAAACAGATTTCTACCATTCTTGAGTAAAACGTCAATATCCAAACTTTATACATACTCTACATTTGTGTTGGTCATTTTATCGCAAAGATCTCAGATTATTTTCCATTCTAGGCATTTCCCATAAATTCATGTAGAAAACTGTGAACCTGTCAAATTTTCTTTATATGTTTAATGCATCTGAATAATGCCATCACATCGCTAGAACCTTAAGTAAAAGAACTGAAGGCATACATTTTAACTTCAACATAAAGCAATTACCTATATCTGGAGAAAATGATAGCCCCTGTTAAATTAAAGAGAGGCAGAGAAACTTCTATTGATTTTTATAAAACCTGGTGTGTTTACCTGTGGTTAGGGAGACATCTTGGACACTGAAACATTGCCTCCAGCTATTTAAAAAGGAATCATAGACTGTGATTAAGTTCTGAATCCAGAAAATGGTTTTTGCAACTACAGAGCTCTGAATGATGACATGTCACTCTCTTAGTAGCTTTGATACAATTTTGGCACTTGCAATGTCTGAATTTATGGTGATTAGGTCTTTATCCTCACAAAGAAATAAAGATCACGTTTTATGGAAAGGTTGTCTCAAGAGGGGAAGGAAGTTGAAATGTGAAGCTGCATTTACATTAACCATTTCCAGGAACCTCAAATCGATTCTGTGGCTATCAGGCAACTAACTGCCTGATGTCAGGGTTCTCATTCCTTAAGGGTGTAAATCCCTCCTCCTTGAGCTGCCAGACCAATGGACTGCTCCAGATATTTAGTCACACCGATGGCTACTTCTGGGATCACTGTTGTGATGTCACCTAGCTGTTGAAAAGGTATATTTTCCTTTCTGAGATCAGTGTAATAATAAATCACTTTCTGTTGCTAATCAATTTCTATGTTCTTTCAGTTCTGCAAGTCCTTGACCATTAATTTTGTGCGTCTCTCCACCGAGGCTGCCTGATCCGCAAAGTTTCTCCACCATTTTAAGCTTTTCTTTCAAATTTCCAGCATTCAACAGAGCTGTGTCAAGACTCTGTTTAAACAAGTGATAACACACTGCAACACCCCGGAGCTGCGCAAAAACGAAGAGGAACACCTATACAAAGTCTTTACGAACAATGGGTATTTCAACAACTTTGTCCGCCGATGCCTGGCAAATAAACAACACCAAGAAGACACTGTATCCCCCAACACACTGGCCACCCTACCCAATATTAGAGACATCAGAACTGACTACAAGACTCCTACGGCTTCTTGGAAAAAGGATAGCACACAAACCAATAGCCACACTTGGCCAGTTACTCTCAAAGATGAAAGACCCCATACCTACAATGAGCAGGGCAAATGTGTTATATAAAATACCATGCAGCAGCTGCGAGAAACGCTACATAGGATAGACAGACAGGAAACTCGCCACCAGGATACATGAATACTAACTCGCAGCAAAACGGCACGACCAACTCTCCCTCGTTTCAATAAACTCCGACATAGAAGGACATCAGTTTAACTGGGACAAAGTTACAGTACTAGGCCAAGTGGGACAAAGACAAGCATGAGAATTCCTAAAGGACTGGTTTTCACCCACCGATACAATTAACAAACATGTTGAAATAGACCCCATCGACATACCACTACAGTACAAAACTGGAAACAAGACTGCCGACCGTGACAGACCAGACCATACAAATTCAGAGCGGGACTGAACAACAGTGCTTCAACAGAGGCTACACAGCACCGAAGATGTCACCTAGAAGGGAGGCGAAACGTTTGCATGAAAACTAGTCAGCTCAGCGAACCAACCAACAACATTACTGTGATAATGTACTTCATCATCAGGAGGTTTACAAAATTTGCAACTGCTGAATGAATGGGCTCTGCCGTATGCTTGTTCCAATATTTCATTAAAAAGTAAATAATCCTTTAATATTCAGTTTCAAATTTCAGTCATTTGATTTGATTTATTATTGTCACATGTATCGGGATACAGTGAAAGATTTTGTGGGTTTTGTGTGCTATCCAGACAAATCATACCTTACATAAGTACACCAGGGTAATAGAACAGAATGCAGAATAAAGTGTTACAGCTACAGAGAAGGTGCAGAAATACAAAAACAAACAGAACCAACACAATGACTACACTATGATAGTCCAGTGTTCACAAAGTTTATATTATAAGGCAAATATATATATATATATGAATTTGAAGAGTGCTATCCCAGTTTTATCTAACTTCAATTTCCTTCCCAAACACCACACGCTGCCTCAATACCATCGAGAAAACCCCTTCCAAAGTCTCCTTATGATGCATTAGTAAAAGTTGGACGAGACTCATCCTGGCTAGTTCCATTTCTGATTCTCTCATGCACCTACTGCTATGTCAGAATAAGAAAGCAACAACGCCACAAATTAGAATTCTGTTTGGAGATATGTCTGATGTGTCTACAACATACAAGGAGACATTCTCAGATTATAGCGTATATGAAGGTCCAAGCTAAAATCAAGCCTTTTCTACTGTCAAAAAACAACAAGCAGTCAGCAATGGAAATGTGATTCACATATCATTGCATCACAGAGGAAAATGACAGCTTTGTTTTTGCTTCTTCTTTAGAGAAATTACATTTGCTTTTCTTTTCTACTGCTAGGCAAAATTTAAAAAAAACACAATATTCCCCTATCCAACCATGGGCAAAGGGCTTTTGAATTTCACTGGAGTTGTGTCTTTGTTCTTTTGCATAGTTTCCTTACAGTTTATTTCCAGAATAGAGTTCTTCAGTTGAACACAAGAACAATTATCAAAGACACAGCACTCCCTTTCACTGAATAGGGGTTCTCACTTTGTCATAGGTAAGGAAGCTACATACAGTTATGAAATCTAGCCATGTGGATGGAGATCAAATCAATCTAAACGAATGCAGATTCATTAGTTTTGTTGGATTAACACTTAAGCAATATATTTTATTGATATGAATGTTCCACAACAGCTTTAATAATCTTGATTTTATGAAGGATGCCAACTGGTATATTTATTTATCTCTGTCCGTGGTGAAATAAATATGATGTATTGACCATTTTGTAAATTCTTACTTGCTCTTTTTCAGGCAGATAGCAGTAAATGAAGTGAGGGGACTGACCCACTCCTTTCCTGCCCTCTTGTAACTGACCAGAACTTAAAATTACAGGCAGCATGTACACATTCCTCAAGCAATTCTTAATTCAATGCATTGGGCTCTAATGATGTAATCGGAGCCTGAACTGTAACTTAATGCAAGGAATAATTTTCCTGTCAGGCTATATTTTCCAGTTGCTGTACCAAAAACTAGAATAACACAGGCAAGCATGTTCATTTACCTTATTTAGGTTCCTTTAAGGATCAAGAGCAGGGGTAGTAAATAGGCCACACAAGGGATATTTGGCTCCCTCTCTGCCTTGCTCCAGGATTCTCCCTTCACATTCCCACCTATTCATTTATGCTGGTGCTGTGTAATATTGTTTTGTGCCCATTAGCTTTTCGAATGGTCTTAACCACATGAGCTGCTGCTTTTTTATGTGTTGTGTAGCTGCATAGCAAATGCCTTCCACTTTTCCACATCAACTAGCTTAAACTCATGCCTCATTTTATTAATAACTCCTAGAACTTACTTTGGTGCTCAGAATTATTTATTATGCCTCCTACTTCTGTGACATATGTTGAAGGATTAATCTTATTAATAACTTCTCAAGGATTCAGTTCACCCCATGTCAAAACAATCATTACCATTCTCGACCCATGGTATAGATACGTCAATTAATTAACAGGTTCTCATGTCAAAATTTTATACAAATGTCAAATGAAAAGCTGTTAACAGCAAGTAATTTATGATAGCATTTAGAGATAGATAATATCCCTACCTATTAATGAGGCCTGAATGCTTTCATTATGGAGAAATGTATTACAGTATTTATCTTCACTGCAATGCAAATCTAATACCTCTCCTTCATACGTTATGGTAATTTGCTTTACAACACATTGCAGGTTTTTCTGAGTTACTGAGTTGTGAAGAACAAACGACTTTACTATTTTTCTTCCACAATGGCTTTTGAATATATTGGCTTTTCCTTATTCTTCAAAATGTTCCATATTGTTGGAAATCTTTACTTTTCATATTCTGTGACAAGCTCCTTATTGTGATCTTTACCATTCATAGCTTTCACTGTTAACAAGAAATTACTTTCTAGTGGTGTCCATAATTTAAGTAATTATTTTCATCTAC